AGTAACATATATACTATTCCATAATATAATAAATCATAACAATACTAACATTTCCCCTTGGATTTTTCTTAGTTGGTGTAACAATTATCTCGTATATAACATAATTTTATTTTAGGTTGGTTAGTATAAGCAATTAGTATAGTTATTTTATTTTTCAATCTAGTCAAGATGAGTTGAAAAACAAAATGACCAAATATCTCTGATATCATGGATATTCTTTAATAAGATGATTCTGATGGTTCTGATGATTTTGCGCCTTTTGATGAAAGTTCATCTGATGATGACTATGGATCAGATAATGAGGGTAATAATATTGTTATTCCTACCTAATCCCGATTCTCATCCAGTAACACATTTTTTAGTTGGTCTAAAACACATCGTTCATTCACACCACGGTTTAGTATACCTGATGACCGTAAACCTGAAGTGTTGGTCGATTTGGAACCTGGTTGTTCAGAATTGAAACGTTTGTACATATTGATAAGTTAATGCACGAATGAATGCTTACAGATACTAAGAGACAAAAATAAGAAAACTGAAGATGAAATTCAAAATTAAGACTCTAGTGAAATAATGCTAATACTTGGTTGACTACTTGTTATGAGTAATAGTAAATTACCTAATGTCTACGATAATTGGTCCCAAATTTCGTCTACAGGGAACCAAGCTATCAAAATGGAAATGGCACGTAATAGGTTTCAGTTATTGATGTCAAAACTGTATTCCAATCACAAAAAAACAGCCTACAAGTACAAATGCTCCTAAAACGTACTACATTGATGAATTGGTAAATTGTTTGAAGCATACACTTTTTAATGCTCGAGGAAATAGCCCATATCAAAGTTTGGACGAATCTATGACAAAATTCAAAGGTAGATCCAGTTTGAAACAGTATATGCCTCTCAAGACTATAAAACGAGGAATAAATATCTGGGAGCGATTTGACTCTATCACTGGATATGCCTCCGCTTCAATAGGGAACCAGTAGTTTTGAAATTATTTGATAAGATTCACGAACCTAATGTGGTACTTTCTTTTGACAGATTTTTAACATCTGTGCGGCTTCTCACAGTTATAGACTATCCTGTTCTTGGTACATGTATTAAATCGAAAAAACGTACCTAAGATTGAAGGTAAATTAAAAATGTTCGGATGGATTGATAGCAGCAAGATTTCAAGATTGTAAGTGTGGGGTAAAATGTTAATTGTGGACTGTATGATGGGTAACTTCTCAAAAATCAAAGTCGTGGGTGGTTTGTTTTTTATGCCGGGTGACGGCCTACTATTCCCAAAGTAATAACAAATATAAAGAAACAAATGTGCTAGCCGGCATAGGGCTCTTAGAAACTAATTTTACAATAATTTAAAATGTCAATAATAATATAATGTTATATAATTCAATAAAATCCGGAACGGTTACGACGGTGATATTGACAGTGAAATGCTCGGGTGGTGGTGAAACTGACGGCGAGGTCTGGGTAATGGTGAATTGACGGTGAGGTGCCTGTTTGATGAAGTGACGGTGAGGTAAAGGTATGGTGCCGGTGGTTAAAAATGAATACCTTCACTTCGCCCGTGCAGTAGTTATAAAAAAAACACGTAAAAAAACGGCAAGAAAGTTTCCCGGTAACGCACACACACCGACACACCGGTATCGGAACACGAATTTGTCGCATTGACGGCTAAACGGTAACAGCTGATGACAGCGGTGTAGTAAGGTAAGTCAGGTGGCAGTTTTTTTTATCACCGTTTTGCTTAGTATAGGTGGTCTGAACACTGAACAGTAAGGATTTTATGGTAATTAGCAACTGTCATCCGCCGATTGTTAGAGAAATTACTCGTAAATAAAATGATGATACAAGGATGATACAAAATTTAAAATGTCTTGCCAAAATTCCAAAATTGAGTGTGTACGATTGCAGCCTTAAGTCGAATTGAACCGTCGAATTGAACCGTGTATATATTATTATATGTATTACTAATAAATACTAATATCATAAATAAATTATTTTAACATGAATTTTAAACATTTTAACAGAGATTTAGCTACATGCTGTACATTTGTGTCTCTGTCATTGTATTTTGCAAGAGGAGAAACTACAGTCGGAAACATTGTGCACGAAACACCTAAAATAATCTGGGACACATTGCATGATACCTACGTATATGCCAGTACCAACTAAAGTGCATTGGAAACTGATATCTGATCGGTTTGAGTCAATTTGGATCCTATTAGCATCGGAGCTATTGACGGGAAGCATGTGCTAATTGAGAAATTTCCTAATACCGGTTAACAAAATTGCAGTAGCAGCAGCATTACAAGATTTAATTAATAAACCACTGTATAAGGATGCCGAGATAGACAGAGATTGGTTGGCTCATGTCACAGAAACCACCAAGAGTATGGAAAATGGTTCAGATCTCGAAAGTGAAGGAACTGATGATGAAGATACAAATACCGAACCAATCAATCCGGGAACAATGGATACGATGATTGAAAACTGCGATTTTGTCTCTTTTTCTCCAGACGAAGGAATGAAACCGTTGTCTATTCTCATTGATGATCACGCAAAAAGCGTTTCCTGATTTGTTTGGAGGACATTTGGTGTTCACTACTTGATTCATGTCGTTTAAATCCTGAACTTTTTTCAAAAGTTTTTTTCCAATGTTTAAAACCAATTGTAACAAACACAGTGTATGAGTCATAATGTGTAGAAAAGAAACGACAAGGAAAACAACATACTGCACATTCATTACACTGTATTCGATCCAGTTAAACATTTTATACCATGTATCCGAGAAATGTCTCATTCTATTAGAAAACTTTTGGATAAAATACTAATATAGGTTTTGTTTTGATCCATCATTTAAATGTTGAGCAAGATCTTTTGGACCTTGTGTTGTTTTTGGTATATCAAGTGTATAAGAGGAAGAATCTAAAAAGGAATATATATCAATACTATCAACAAATGTAGCACAACACATGTCTTCATCACTATTGCGCCATTATTAATACTTGAGTTTTGTAGTTGTTCTTCTTCATAATGGTTCTTACAAGCTAAAACGTCACCAAAATTATTGTTGAAATCTTCAACATCTAAAAGTAAAAAGTCTAAATAAATAAATTTATAAATTTTAAACATGTATCTATATTTTATTTGAATATGAATATTGAATATAAATAAAAGTATGTGTAACTGTATCATTAACCTTTATTTTTTCTTGAACTATTTATTATCTCTGTAGAAGTAGTAGATGCCTCACATAATAAGTTCTTGTATCATCGTCACAAACTAAAACATGATTATTTTACTCTAGGTACTTATTATTTATTAAAATATTTTTTTTGAAAGCAATATGCATACTTTACTACAATTTATCAATCATAATACTTCAGAATAAATTAAATAAAACATGAATCACAACTCACAAGTATCGAGCAAATAAGTATAACAAATAGCTATTTGTTTGATACTTAGGCCGGGTTGCATAAACGTTCTGTAACGACTTACAGATCTGTAAGTGCGATGACGGCTCTGTAAATAAAATTAGGTGTTGCTTGAACGCTCGGTAAAGTTACCGGCTCTGTAAATTATCGGCTACCACACCTGTAAACTGCAGATAGGATTTTGCATCTGTAACTACTTACAGATCGGTAAAATCATAGATAATAGAAGAATGGATAGGCATGGATTGTAATGATAAGAAAAACACATTGTTTATTGTGGTTTAATTTATTTGGTAACCACGGTTATCAATAATTTAATATTTCTTTATGCAACACTAGCTCTAGTTTACACAATCATTAAAACCTTACGGTCCGGTAAATTACAGAGCCGGTAACAAATGTACAGACTGTTCTTTATGCAACCGGCCCTTAATACCTAATTTGTAAGAAAAATTGTTTAATCATTGTAATTTCTTGTTGTTCAATAATAACTTTTTTAAATAGTTACTATCAATGTCTTACATGGTTACATATTAATATATTTTATAATAATAATAATATAATAAATAGAGGTACCTAAATACTTAGTAGTATGAAAAATTAATTATAACATTAGGCGTGTTTTGGCGATGCAGTTTTGAGCAACCTGGTAACTAATTTAACAAACAAATTGTTTTGGGGATTATGTTTACTGCAATTATTGTTTGATAACTAAATACACTTTTCGACAACCTGGTTGTCGGATTTAGAAACCATTTAAAAACTACATTAACTGTCTCCGGTTACTGATAAGTGATAACGATTATATGATTTGTCATCACGATTTATTTAATATATATCTTAAATCGTGTTGGTCATCTGAGATCTGACATATATTAGATATTTTAACTATTTGTAAGTTATAACTCATTAGTCATTAGAAGTCATATATAATATAGTGCAATGGCTTATATTTTTATTGATGTGTGTTATGATGTAGATGGCAATACAATTTATAACACAAATAAAAAAGAAATTCTTTGTAAAATTAGAGGTATGTTCAGGCTTGCATAATATAAAATAGTTAACAGTTAAATAATAAGCAATAGTTACACGTCAATTATCTTATAAGTATATGTTATAATTGCATGATAAACTTATATTTATTTAGTAACTTTTACTTTGTACTTAGTATTTTTTTAGGGATGAGTTGTCAAATATTAAACATTGACACCAAAGAACAAAATTATTTATTTTTATTTTTATTTTTAATTTTTTTGTAGATATTAATTTTTTATAATACAATTTTAGAAGACGTCATGATGTATTTTGAAATTTTATTACTTTAAAATTTAAATTGCTTTTTTTTTAAATTAAGTTAATTTAAATATAATATATCTTATCATCTATAGTGCCTATGTACCAAATATTTATATTTCTTTTCTGAATTAACTTAATTTGAAAAATAATATAAATTATAACTAGTACTTACCTAATTAAACATTTAACACTGGTTTCCAAAGTTTAAAGTACTGAATACCTTTTAAAAGCAATGTGTGTACTTATAATAAATATGTTTGTTATACAGAGGAAAATAATTCAAATACCTATTATTGAACAATTCATTTCCGTAACAAATTTGGTTGAAAATGGTTTTGTTATGTATGGCGATGAAGAAAATGATGCTGCCGAAGTTCAAGACCAAGACCAAAATACAGAAACAGAACAGTTGACAAGTACAGTCAATAAGGCTACTGAAATCCAAGTTCAAGAAAAAAATACCGAAATAGTGCAGTCGACGAGCACAATAAACAAGGCTACTGAAATTCAAGTTCTCGGCCAAAATACTGATGGACTAAAAGATGTATGGATACAACTTGACCAAGGCCAATAGACCATCGAGCGACTGAAGAATTTATAAAAGTAGTTATGAGTGAAAACATACAACATTTATTGAAAGACAAAAGAACTCCTAAAACTAAGGTATGGAAACAAATATATGATAAGATGATTTTATTAGGTTTTAGTGTATGTCAATCATTTATAGAAGGAGGTATCAAGTGTAACTAAAAGTGGAGAAACTTGGAAAAAAACTATGTTGATTTTAAAAAAAAATGCTGGGCCAAAATCAATTGGAAAAGGACGCAAGGATCCACCACCATATTATAATTTACTACATTCAGCATTTGCAGAAAAACATACAGTTAAACCACCAGTAGTTTTTTACACTCCGAATATTTCATCCATTCAAAATGAAATAATGAGCTTTGGTGAAGAGCTAAATGAAAGTAATGAATTAGATTCACCAAGTATGATTAGCAAGCAAATTACACCAAGCAAATTACATTACTGATGATGCTGCCTACACTGATGAGGGACCACCTACAAAACGATTTATGAAGGTTAAGAAAACCACGAGACCTGTTAACCCTGTGTTACTAGAAATTCAGAAACAGCATGCTCAAGAAATTGAAATACAAAAGGAATTCATGAATATTAGTCATGCAATGATCTCCGAACAAAAAGAACAAACCAAAATTTTATCTCAATTGATTAGTTTTATGATGAATAAATAATTTCAATTGAAGAAACTTGCATTACTATTTATTGTTATAAAATAATTCTGTATTCAGTAAAACTAGTATTTATCTTAATTTGTTACACTGAACAAAGTAAAACCTGAAAAATAATTTTGTTTTATAAAGTTAATATTAGTAAGTATTTGTATTCATAATTTGTTAAAAACTGTTATTATAAAATAATTGTATATGAAATGTTTTCTACTTTAAATAATTTATGTTATATCATCTTAAGTAATTAGTATTTATCTAAATTTGTTACACTAAACAATGAAAAAAAAATGGAAAAATCATTTTTTTAAATTAATATTAGTATTTGTATTCATAATTTGTTAAAATATTTAAGATATATATAGACTGATTTGTTTAAACTTGTTATTAATTATATTAAATGTTTTGTACTTGAATTAATTAATGTTATCATTTTATCTTAGGTAAAGTTTTTTATTGAATCAATAAATTAAGAAGATCTCTTCGTTTTTCTTCTCCCGTCCTTATTTCTACTCGGCTTGTTTCAATTCGTTGATGACTGCAGTGTTGGGAATAGATAACTAATAATTTATCTAGATAAAGATAAAAATTAGTACATTTTTATCTAGATAAATATAAGATAATTGGTGTATTTATCTTTATCTATAAGATTATTTTTCCTGGATTCTTCAACTTTAGACATTATTGAAGCATGTTTATACTAAAATATTTACAAAATATTAATATTGTAGTAAATGTGACTTGCAAATTGTAAATAGAATTTAAAAATAAATAGCTGGTTCTAAAATTATACATACTTTATAATGACTAAGGAAATTACCACTTGAATTAATACTCCCATTTACAACTTTGGAGCAATTTTGGCACAATGCAGATAATTTATTTCCTTCTAAGGAAATTATTTAAAAAACTGAAATATCGGGAATTCTAATAGGGTTTTATAAATATTAAATTGTTATAAATTATAATGATATTATATTATTATGCTTGTGAGTATACACCAAAGCCAGAGCAGAAGTGCGAAGGAAATTTGCCCTGCACCCCCAGTTTGTTCCGGACATTTTACTGATAATATTGTTCCTAGTTTTTAGTTTGTTTTTTACTCCTTCTTAGTGCTGTTTGAAGGTTAAAGTCCTGTCTAACTTTATTTCCAAGTATTTCGGGCGTCTTCTCCTTGAATGTTAACTCCCTGAGCCATTAAGTTTAGTTTTCTATCTGATTCTCTGTTATTTAGGTGGAACGCAATGAAAGTAGTTTTGTTTGGGTTGATTGTTAGGGGCCATGACTTACAATATGTTTGTACTATGGATAGATCCTCATTCAGTATCTCTTCCAGTTTTTCAAACGACTCGGCTTGAGCTACTAAACCCACGTCATACGCATACATAAATTTCCGCGATGTTGTGTTCACGATATCAGATGTGTAAACATTAAACAATTCTGTTGAGAGGACAGATCCTTGAGAGAGGCTGTTTTGGAGGTACTTGTACTTACTCTATCCCCCGTTTAGGAGCACTCTAAATTTCCGGTCTGATAGTATAGAGTCGATAAGTCGTATAGACGTTATACATTTCTGTATTTTCGCTAATTTTAATAGTAGGCCACGTTTCCATACCGTATAAGAAGCACTCAATAGGTCGAGAAAAATCGCCCCTTCTTTTATTTTCTTCTGAAATCCGTTTTCTACATGCGTGACCATTGACAGAACCTGCTCACAACATCTTCTTCCTGATCTGAAACCTGCCTGTTCCTTTGGTAGATTTACCTCAATTTGTTTTTGAATTCTTGTTAAGAGTACTCTCTCGAATAATTTATATACTACTGATAGTAATGATATCTATCTATAACTCTTTGGGTCATTACCTGATTTACCCGGTTTCAAAATTGCAATTACTTTTGATTCTCACCATAGTTTAGGTAGTACATTATTATTTTTAACTGATGAGAAGAAACTTGCTAACCAAGCTTTACTTTTTAAACCTAGATATTTGAAAAATTCGGGTAAGATGCCATCTACGCCGGCAGCTTTACCACTTTTAACGAGCTTCATTGCATTTTCTACATCCTCCATTCTAAAATCTTCCATACTTTCAGATTTTTCTACACAACTAATGATTACCTCTTTAAAATCATGTTTTACCTTCAGATTTTCTAGCTTCCCTGGTTTTCTATGTACTAGATGAAAAAAAAAAATATTTTAAATTTTCAAATTTATTTTAGTTCATTTAAATAAATTATCTAGATAAGTACTCGATAACTAAAATAACCTAAAAAGTAACCTAAAATTCTTATAACTTTTCTTTGAAGAACTTTTAACTTCTTCTCTTTGTAAATTAGAAGTGGAACCATCATTGCATAATTTTATAGCATACTTTGAGCGTACATATGTACATCGGAAAAAGTAGCTTCCTATCGACATCAAGTAATGCTTAATACAAATATGGTATCAGAAGCTTTCTATAAAACTTTAAAACATGTATACTTAAAGGGGAAGAAAAATCTTGATGTATTATTCCGGCATTTACTTAAATCATTACGCGATAAAAACTTTGAACGACTAATAAAACTGTGCAATGGTGGAAAAGTTAATCACTACGTAAATGCTATTAATAGTCGTCATCGTGCTGCGGATTAGATTAATATTTCTGGTATTCATCAAATATCAGAAATCACTTGGTCTGTAACATCTGAAACTTTGGATCAAAATTACCTGGTTAAGAAACATGAACCATGTTCATGTAAGATTATATGTGTTGCGTGTAAAGTCTGTGTTCATTTGTTTTCTTGTACGTGTTACGATTACACAATAAAAAATAATATATTGTGCAAGCATATACATGCTGTAAACCTAATATGGTTGACAATGAAGTAGTAATTCCAAGAACTGATGTATGTAGTCTCTTAATAACTGATGAAGTATGTATGAAAATTCCAATCACTCAACAACTGTCTTCTGTATCCACAGAATCCATTGGTAACAAACTTTATGAATTTGTGACTGCTCGGACATATTGCTCATGTTACCGAGAGTCATGTGGCCGACCGGAGCATTTTCGCACGGTCGCCAACCACGGACCGAGACCCAAAAGTCGGAGTACCGTGGATTTTTTAATAATAATATATATATATAACGATATCAGTCCAAAATAAGAACCGGATACATTCGGACCAGTAATATACGGTGGGTGACCATCGGTGAAACAATAAAAAATACCCCAATTTGGGAAAAAAATTATATATTTGATTTATTCTAATAATTAATTTAGTTTGATGCCGAGAAAGCCGAATGGCATAAAACTCGGTCAGAATAGAGTAATAATTTTTACATAATTTTTTTTTTATAAGAAAAAATAACAACAACAATGATAATAATAAACAGTTTCCGAATATAATACACCACCCCCTATATTATAACAAACATATACAAAAAGAAATACCGGCCACGGTGAAATAATATTATATTATAAAATGGTTGCGTTAACAACAAAACATTACCGTTTGAATACTTTAACAGAGGTTGGTTTCTCATCTGAATATAGCTTTGGCTCTATTAGTAGTTTACAACATAGAACACAGTTTATATGGCTATGATAGTTAGCGGGTCTGTCTGTCTTCTCTTTGGATAAGAACTCTAAAATAGATATGAATGTTAATATTAGAAGAAACAGACCCTGATAATGCATGGTATAGTTTTACATACCTTTAGAATATTTACAAATAGTGATCACTAGATATGTATATACAAGTAAATAAATTCCCTCTAATATTGGGTCGGCTAACATGTTTACAGATGATGTCATTAAATCAGTGAGTCACCGATCCTCCAAAGTAAACTCCAGACACTAGTTCTAACAACCATTCGTTTAACTCAGTCTTACTGGTGATTAGATCTTGAATAAATTTACCTACTTCTCCTTCACTGTCCACCACCCACATCTTAACCCGTGATAGTCTCTTAGCAGCACCTAAAGCTCGGTCAGTGCCAGTTATTTTGATGAAAGGGGCTGTTTTTTTCTCTACCGTTCCGGAGCCTAAATAAGCCTCTAAGTTACCTCTCATGAACACAGGATTAGCTGACTTCTCGTATGATTTGTTCGGGTCTAAGAGAATAAACTTGACATGCTCATCAGAACCAATGCAATTGTTACAGGTCCCGTGTTAAACGACTCATCAAAGCTTCAAACTATTAGAAATACCATTGGAACAATAAGAGAAGTTAGTACATTTTTAAGGGCCTCGGTTAGAAGAACAAATATTTTAAAATATAAATTAATAAAATATAATTTAAAATCGTCGAGATTGATGAACTACTGTGATACACGATGGGTCGAGAGACATGAAGCTATTGCACTGTTCAAAGATAATATTATGTTGCCTATTATAGCATCTCTAGAACAAATAATGACTGACAATAAGACTTGGTTCAATGGCTCGCTAATTCCATAAAAAAATGTGCGATTTTGAATTTATTATTACTCTATTTAATGTTGACAAATTGTTAGGCATAACATACCAAGTGTCTGTTAATCTCCAAAAGCCTAATATTGATTTATGTACAGCTGTTGAAAGCATAGAAGTTGTTCAATCAGTCATCAGTGAGATAAGATCAAATGTCGAGAGAGAATTTAAAGAAATATTTCAATATGCACTTAATGTAGCTAATAACCTCGGTGTTACAAAATTGATGCCAAGAATTGTCGGTACACAAAATCATAGACAAAACTATTCTACCAATTCTCCAGAAGTGTATTTTAGAATTAGTTTGTTTATTCCATATCTTGATGAGCTATCTATGTCATTAACTAACAGATTTACCAAACATAAAAAAGTTCTTTTAAGTCTTCAACATATTGTACCATTTTATGTGATTAATTCTAACTATACTGATGTATCAGATGCCATTACCTTTTACCAAACTGATTTTAAAGATAGCTATAATCTATCAATTATTGAAGGTGAATGGAGACTATGGAGAAGTAAATGGAAACTTTTTTGTTTAAATTCATCTGACAGCATACCAAAAAATGCTATTGAAGCTTTAAAAAAATGTAACAAAGATGAATTTCCAACAATATATGTTCTGTTGAAAATATTATGTACCATACCTGTTACTACTGCATCTGTTGAAAGGAGTTTTTGAACACTATGTAATGAAACGCATTGGTTGGTAATAAATTGTTTTTATTGATATATAATATTTTGAACCAATATGCTAATTATCTGAATTTGATACAATTAATATGTTTTGTATAACAATATTTTCTTTTTATATCAATTATTTTAGTTATACTCGTTGGAGTGTACAATAAAAATATTTACTGGGGTTACATAAAGGGGTGGGAATGTAAACATTGAACTCACGGTTTTGTTCGGTAGAGGTGAAGTATTGGCTCTGCTCGGCGGCGGCGTACTTACACAAAGCTGCGCGTATAGAGGCCCGGTAACACTTGAAAGTAACTTACCGGAGTATACGACTAAACGTTGACTGACAGCGATTGGCTCTGCTTTCAATGGCGGCTTGGCTGTGAACAACTGTACTGAACTGATCCCGGACGGTGAATGAACTGTATAGCTTTCCCGGTGATGATTGATGGTGTGTCCCCGGATGACGAAGTGACTACTGCGGCGCTTGGTGTTGGTCGTCTCACACAGTGTATACGTAAAATACCGAGCGGCAACACGTACTTTCACGGCGCACGGTCGTTCGTGGAGGAAAGAGAATGCCGCGACAGATTATATGAGTATCCGTGTATAACGAAGATTTTACTCTCGTCCGGCTTACTCAGTCTGGGGGCAATGCTGTTCGATGTTTGGTAATTGGTGTCCGTGTATAACGAGGACTGAGGAGTTACTCTCGTCCGGCTCGTAAATACACCGCACTCAGCGGGGAGACTGTCTATTTTGCTGTGTTCCTGGGTGGTACTTATAGTACTCATGCCCTTTACGCAATGCGTAAAACACATAAAAGGTTTTTGTAGATTAAAATGTTTTATGTTCAACTTAAAACCCATAAAAATATGCTTTACATAGTTCATGATGCGCGGATTCCAATGGTGTATCCCAAAGGGTTTTAAGTTGACGGGTTTCGTTGTGAAATGATTTTCTTAACTCGGCGGAGTGCCAGCGAAAAGGAAGTTTGTTCTTTCACGCGCTCTATTGTGCGTCGTGAACGGCTGTTTTCGTGTTTTGCGGTAATGACGTCTGATTACTGCGCGAGAGCGCGTCGCGGTAGTCGGTACGCGATCAGTGACTACTAGTGACGAGAGTGGGCCACGGGAACGGGGCATTCGGTTTTGTCTCGTTACATAGTCCCCTTTTTTTATTTTATTTTTATTTCTACTATATATCCAGGATATGGATATACAAGAAAAAGAAAATGAAAACAATTATTTGAGATGTATTATGATTGTCGCTGTATTGGAAGGAGGGTAGTCACTGTATCGATAGGTTTTTTACTCATGGAATTATTGCTGGTGTTGCCTCTTGAGGTCTTTAATTTGCTGCATCTTCTCTTTATATATTAGTTTCTTCAGTTGAGTATTCGATATATCTCCAAACTCTTTTGTGAATTTCTTCATCGTCAGTAGGTCTCTTTTGAGGTCACTGTTGGACCCTTTGTTCTTTTCCAATAATTTACCCACAGTTCCTTTTATGGGATCGTATTCCGGACTGCTCTGTTCATGACTGCTGCTGTCGGAACTCTGATCACTTAATGGTGATACTCCTATTTCCAAGACTTCAGTGTCCCCAGGTTCGAATTCGTCACTGTCGGTGATGACCGTACTAGGAGACGATGGTGTGGATGTTTCTCCTGCATTCTCTTCATCTTTGGGTGTGTCTTCGACAACCAGCACGACTTCGGGCACTAATACTGATATAGCGTTTGTCTCCGTTGGTGCGGGCGCCGGCATGGCTTCCGACTGATCCGATTTTACTAATTGCGGCTTCTTCACGATAAAATTTGGCAACGCGTTTCTTCTGTTCGTTCGTTAGGTATTTTTCAATATTGGTGAGTTCAATCTTATTGATTGAGTGTCGATTTTGGATTTTCCCCAACGGGATTTGTATGTACAAGTTCATTTTGGTTTTTCTGCCTATGGGGGGGGGGGAGTGTGTTAGTTTAATTTATTTACAATATTTATTGGTTAGATTCACAACCATACAGATTAGTTACATTTCTTTTATACATTATATTTTTTTTTTTATTTTTTTTTATTTTTTATATACATTGTCATTGTTGCTCAGTAGTGACCCTGACCAAAGTTGGGGGTTTTACTTCATGATATTGCTTCACATTTTGATAATTGTATGTTCAGCGTCTTCCAGATGTGTCTTGTACAGTGACAGTGTTGTTGTTGTGTACTTCACATATCTGGTATGGTCCATGATACAGAAGGAACAGTTTGTGAGTCTCCCGATCCTCTGCAGATGATAATCGGTGTTCTTTCACGAGAACTTTCATTCCGATGTTGTACTCAGGGAATATTTTTCCGCGGTCTTTATATTTACTTCGGATTTGTGATTTTTTCTTAGTTCTTTGGATCACAATTTGTATGATGTCAGGCGTAGGATCCGTTATTGTGTACTTTGGAAATTCTACTAATTGAGTTATGGATAATGGTGTATTCTTTCCAAACATGATGAATTGTGGTGTGAATCCCGTAGTGGTGTGGGTGGTATTGTTGATACAAAATTTCACATTGTCCAGCCAACGAAGCCAATTGGTATGTTGTTTGTGACAGTATGTTTGAAGCAACCTTCCTATTTCTCTGTTGGCACGTTCGAAAGGATTACTTTCGGGATGGTATATGGTAGTGTGAATGCTTTTGATCTGCAAGCCCTCCATGATTTTGGTCCATTTTTGGACCATAATATGTCCATATTTTCCCAAAAAATTTTTCTGTTGGCTGGGAGAACTTGAGACAGATTTTGTAGGATACTATCTCGTTTTTCTTGTAGAATCCCTCGTGGTTTCGTTAATGAGATTGATTACGGCATTCCATTGATTTTCATAACATTTTTTCTTGAAAAGTCTAATTCTGAATATTCTTCATCGTAATCGCTTTTAGTGTACAATATAAATTTCCCAGGTTTAACTTGAACAGATACTACGTCTTTGAGTAAAATACAATTTGTTGATTTGGTCAATTTTTGCTGAGCTTTATAATCCTTCCATAAAAAAAAGGGAACAAATCTACTTTACCGGACACCCTTTTTTTTTTTCAATTTTTTGTTTTTCAAAATACGTGGTTATTTATGCTGAATTCAAAACTGTTTGAAAAAATTCCCGCAAACTTCCCATTGAAAAGTTATGGAATTTCAAAGTTGCAGTGATTACGCGTGTTTCGGTACTTGTTGCTACGCTGGCCACGCTCGAAACATACTTAGTTATTACGATAAATTCGTTCTTTATCTACTATTCTATCGTAATAACTTAGTATGTTTCGAGTATTGGCGAAATAACGTACCTTGTGAGCAGTAAGATTTTTGCGATGGCTGTAAATTTATTTGATTTTAAAGAGTGGAGTTCCATGGATAATGAACTCGTTTTAATAAATAAATTAATAGAATTTCAAGTACTTCCTGCCTCACGTAAATGCCCGAGGGGCCATGATATGAAAATTGTGAAAGACAGTAACGTTCTCGATAATTTTAAATGGATTTGTCGTGAAAAAATTAGAGAGAAAAAACAAACCCCAAAACCTTGTAATTACAGGTAAGTCGAGTAACAATAATAATTGTTCGATTAATTATTATTAATTATCATGAATTTAATTAAAAATAATTTTGCAGTTTATCATTACGTAAAAACACTTTTTTCTACAAGTCACATTTGTCACTGTTGAATATTTGTGGATTCGTGAATTTATGGTCGATGAACTGTCCTTCCATTGTCATACAAAAACAGCTTCGATTGGCAAATCAAACCGTGGTAGATTGGAGTTCGTTTTGCAGGGAAGTGGTGTTCGATCATATGATAAAAAAAAAAACAATTGGGAGGCATTGGAGAAGTCGTCGAAATAGACGAATCTAAATTTGGACGCCGAAAGTATCACCGAGGACACCGGGTAGAAGGCCAGTGGGTTTTTGGCGGTTATGAACGTGGTAGCGGAGATTGATTCCTAATTCCAGTGGAACACCGAAGCGCAGAAACACTGGTCAAGATAATCGAAGAATGGATAAAACCAGGCACAACGATTATTTCCGATTGCTGGAAGGTACGTATTACTTAGCAATATAATATAAGGTGTTCAGTCAAAGCAATTTAAAATTAGGAAAATACCTACCTACGCCCGATAAAGTTTATAGTTAAGAACATTATTATGTGACACTATTATAACACTATAACATTTAGTACCGATAAGAAATCCTACTACCTATACCAATCTACTATAAACTATAACCATTATCGTGCGAGATTAAAACTCATTAAATAAAGTCTTTAAAATACAAATTTTCAGGCATATAGCAGATTGAATGAAAAGGGTTATACCCATCTAACGGTTAACCATAGTGTTAATTTCAAAGACAAAGAGACAGGCGCACACTCCAACACCATCGAAAGCACTTGGAGCCATGCTAAAGTAACATTACCGAATTATAAAAGAAAAAAAGAATTCTACGGAGGGTACCTGGCAAAATATATGTTCATGAAAAAATGCCGTAATCATGAACTAGACCCTACCGTACAATTTTTTAATGCTGCTGGGTCATTGTACAACGTAAATGACAATGTAGAAAATGTTGATGTACAGGCTGAAGAACAACAGGCAGAAGACGAAAATAGAGAAGAAGAAGACCCAAATAATTATCAAATGTATATACTAATTATGAGTGAATAAAATTTAATTAAAAAAGTGCAAAAAAATTTTTATCGGCGTTTGGGTGTGAACTTGGTATGTTGTGACATAAAACACAATTTTACGTGACTGCCTTCAGCTGCACCATACGATAATAATATTAATAATAACTATTAGTAAATAGTAAAGTGAATACTACTGTTCAAACAACTTCTGTATTTTTTTTCTCTTTATGTACAATAAATCGTATAAATAAAGAATTATATCTACTCCTTTAACCTAAGCTGGTGATGGAGTAGAGAGTTAACAATAGAAATTTAAACAGCAACTTTAAAATTACTATTTAATCGAAAGATATAAATTGTATTTATATAATTTTTTATTCTGGCTTTCTCGACAGTTCTTCAGCGTGTTACCACTGGTCATTTTATAAAAATGAATACCATCCGTCACAAAATTGTTTAAAGAAGTTGCAATACAATTTCTATATACCAATAACCTACATTTTTCTTTAGGCTGATTAAATTTTAGAGTAAAATGTTATATAAAAATGAATTTTTTCTCGCATGCTTAAATAATATACAAACTTACTCACTTAGATACCTAATGAAATTGAAAAAAATAAACCTTAACAATTTCTTAATTTACTTAATATTCATCCTATTCCAATAATTTTTGTTTTAAAAGATGATTAATAAGAACTTAGTATTTATCTAAAAATTTAACCACCAATTTGATACTAACACCCATGTTTTTTTTATTTCAAAGTAATATAAGTATTATAGTACTTTTTTGGAAAAGTACAAAAATATTAGATCATATTATTCCTATAATAGGTTCTTAAAAATACACTGGTAATAATATTGAATAGAACAAAAAAGTTAAGACGATTAATTTTTTTAATTAATTTGAAAATTAGTGTAATTAAATATCTTTATATTTTGAATGGTATTTTAGACATGAGCTTTAGAAGAATTTGTAAATGTAACGTTGGTGGATTTGTTTTACATCGACGAACAATACGAAGGCATAGATGTCAGACCCAGCCAGTTAGTCCAAGATCAATGACGGAGTTTTTATAGTCCACTCATTGGAGAATATAATCATTTAACTAAAATTAATGATGTAACTTTATACTCGAGCCTAATCGATAACGCTCCACAAGAAGGAGTTATTTTACTGTTTATTTTACCTGAATTCATAAAGTAAATACAAAATATCGTTAATTTTAACTAAACAATAATACTAATAACATAATAAAATGTCAGCATACTGAGAACCGGTACAACATTTTTATTTGATAGCACATTTTCAAGTGCACCATCATTTGGTAACGAGTGATAACAGTTGTATATAATAATGGGCATATCATTTAACGCTGTAAGCATAGTTTGGAAATATATAAAAGGGACCTATTAAATAATAAAATAGCTAAAATATTTAAATATATTTTTACACGATATTTACAAAATACAATTAAATGTATTTTTTTTAAATATTTTTATCTTAAGGGTTTCCAATTGGGTTTGCACTAATGTCTATACTCCGCGCCACGAGAGAATGCATACGGCGGCCGACCAAAACTCGTATTTTTTCGCGCATCCCTACCACTTTACCAGCACGATCGCCACCGGTCGGCTTGTACCGGAGCTCACCGGTTTCGTCGGCAGATGTGTACACTGCGATCACAATAACAAACATATTTTCCAAAACGTCGTTTGTCGTTCAGTGATTCTCGTTTATGAACAACGCGCGCGCCGTATTTTTTTTTCGCTAAACCGTTTTTAAATTTTTTTTCTTTCAATACAATGGACGAAGACAGTGAAAGTGGAACCATCAACATTTCACCGATGAAAAGAAATCCACGTGGAAAAGTAAGATTTTTAAAACATTTATTTAATAGAATGTCAGCGCACTGTTGGTTTTGTCTCTCTGGCCCACGTACAACATAGGCAATACGCATTTACGCAGAATAATTTTTTTATGTTTTTGAGTAATTTTTGAGTAAAATCACCTACCTATTACCAAAATTATAGAGAATAATATTTTTGAGGGTAAGACGTATCGATTTTTTTTTAAACTTTTTATTGTAATTTATACTAAAATTAATA